TGTCAGGGGAGTAGCTTTTATTGCGATGGCGCAACATACTTTGCATCATTTGCTTTCCTTGCCCCCCAGCAGATGCCTATAATCCCATTTGCGGCCTCCAGTATACCCCAAGTTGCTTCGGGTAAATTTAGTGGCAAAATTGCTCTTTTGTTCAAAATCATAAAAAAAAAATCGGAAAAAACCCACAAGAGCCTAAAAAGTCTCCAGAAAGATCTGTCTCTGGATGTTCACAAACATCAAGCAATATAAAGGAGTGATTAGTCCGTATTCCCTGTGATATTCTTTCACCATGTGTGGGTACAAAAGAAATCCCCAGTTTCAAAAGAACAGTGTCATGACTTAATAGGCTTAATAGTTAGCATCTTAGCTGGGGTGCCAGGAGCCACCATTAATTTGAAAAAAATACATAGTCTGACTGCATAACAACAACAGAAAACAACTGGAGTGAATTTTCAAATGAATGGAAGTAAAATGCTTTAAAATTCAAGCAAGCCTATTTGAATAGACATTTACCCCAATTAAGCTGCACTGCAGCTTTGTATCTTAATCCATGTATAGGCTGTGATTTTTTGCACGATTAAACTTTAACATTAGCTCCACCACCCGTTATAAATAAGAACTGCTGAGAAAATAAATAGTGACTTGCGGTAAATATATTTTGCAAATCCAAATCTGGGAGCTTACAGGCACCAGCAGGCAAATCCAGCAAAGGTCTCCAGCTTACCAAAAGCAGGTAACAAATCAGGCACTTTGAAAGTTGAAGGCACTATCACCTTTTGCAGTTACTGAAGCGTAGATTTCATTTTGCAATTTACCCATTTCAAAAGGATTGATTTGAGTTGGGTGGATCTCTCTCTCTGTGTTTTTAAAGCATGAGCTGTATAGCCCCCTGATGCAATTTTATTATTAAACTATTTAATAATAATAATTGTATAATTTATTTTTATTATTTTATAATCTATTCAATATATACCCTTGCTTTCCATCAAAACTGGCAGTCAAGGGGGGTGCTAATAATGAAACCCAGAAACTATTAATGGTTTTAATTTAATCAATGAAATTATAACCCCCAATTAATCAAAATAGAGTCAACACTTACCCCAACAGCCAAATACTGTAACTTAATCACAAAAAGTGCCTGACGAGAGCTATCCTACTTTGATTTGCCAGAGATTTTCAAAACATATAAACAACTACCAGAAAAGCTCTCCCTGGTATTGTCTCCGCAGATCATGGGACCAAAAGAAACTAAAAACTCTAGCAGTCCCACAAGGAAAATGTGGTAGTTCAGATTTAACATTTAGGAATATATCTGAGACAAAATCAAAAGGGTTTCCATGAATGAGTATTAATACCTTCAGAATCAGAACCAATCCAGCTCTAGTTGTTGCTGTTTAGATTTATACCCCCCCCTTCCCTTGGGAACTCAATGCAGCTTTACATGGGAAGTTTCCTTCATTTTATCCCAACAATAATCCTGTGAAGTATATTAGGCTGAGGGACAGTGATTGGCCCAAAGTCATCTTGTCAATGTCCATCTGGCTGAGGGCGGACTACCTAATCTGGGTCCACCTCCTACTCCTTATTGGCTAGCGACCGCCAGTGGCTCTAAAATAAAAATGTAGATTTCTGTTGTGTCTAGAAAGTTATCTCCAACTTTTTCTGTGTAGACCTTGGATGCATGAATTAAACTCATGGAACATGACTTTCATATATGAAGCTCCTTTGCAGAATCAGCTTATTGATGGCCTCTTAGCACCAATGTAGATGACTGTAAACTTCCATATCTTATGCCAGAACAATCCTATAAACTAGAGTGGAAAATATTTTAATTGTGGCTGGTGGTGGTATTTAAAAGCATGGAGGAAAATAAATTGGATGGAGCTGTGGGAACCTGTCCCCCCTCTGTCTCTCTTTCTCACACACACACACAAACATAGAGATTTGTGGGTTGCGGGTGGACCAGTATGGCACATTGTACTTCCCTGGTTTAACTTCATAACATAGTTTGAAGTTGGCTTTTAAAAATACTTTCTGGACTTTATTTAAATCAGGGTTTCTGGTTCAAAGGTACTAGCAAACTGGGACTCTAAAAATTAAATCCTGCTTGGTCTTTCCCAGACATGTGGGAACAGAAGAGAAAGGGGAGCACTCTCTGATGTCTCATCTTGTTCAGGTTTGCCTATCCGTTGCTAAATCACAATTGTGCACTATGTTCAAATCCCAAAATACACATGAATTACATGGATACAGCTAGAATTGGGGTCCTAAAATCTTCGCATATGATGGTCATATTTGTAATGTTGAGGGCCTGTTTGGGCTATTGGTCCGCCATGTCGAATGTAACAAGTTACAAAAGACACATCTACAGGAAAGCAAAGTGCTGGAGTTGCCCCATCACTGCCTTTAGCCTCCAAGTTGTTCTTCAGCCTTTAGAAAGTGAATCCAAACTGTTGCACCTTTCACTCTCTCACAACCATCATACACCAATACATTGCAGACTGCTGATTTCACCTCAAATTTCTCTCTCTCAGAAAAATAAAAATCTATAAAGAAATTATAATGCATGAAGTTAAATTGGATGGCAAAATCAAATTAGATTTTGCACAAAAAAACCATGAGCAAGAACAACAGGCTTCTGTAGTCTCATGTAATATTTTTGTTTCTTCTTTCTGAGGTGGGAAAATCTACATAGGAGTATGTTAGCATGATTAAATCCACAAGAGGGGGCTGTTGTACAGGTTTATTATTCAAGGACTAGCAAGAAGGATAAGCATTTCACTTAATTTCATTTAATTAAAATAAGCAAACATACATTCATAAACACAACACACAAACATACAGAATTAGAATGTTAGAAAGGGTCATTCAAGCCACTAAGCCCAATTCCTTTAACAATGCTCTGGTGCTCTGTTTGGGGGAATGGCAATGGTGGGGAGCTTTTACAACGGCTTTGCTGCACTTGACGCAAGGATGGACTTTGGATGCTGACCATGGTTTGCTTGTTTTAAAGTGGTTATTGATGTTTTATACGTTTTCACATTAGTTTTTAACTTGTTTTTATTGGATTGTTGTTTTTACTGTGGTGAGCTACCTAGAGTCACTTAGGTGAGATGGGAGGCCATACAAATTTAAATAAATAAATAAATAAATAAATAAATAAATAAAGCAATTGCACTGGCCACCAGAATCCAGTTTAAAGCATCCCTAATAGGACGCTTAGCCCTTCCTTGAATATGTTCAGTAAGTTCACCGTCTTCTAAACTATTGGTTTCATTGTCAAATTGTTCTTACCTTTATGCCTTCACATAATTTCAAGTTGTTACAGTATTCTGCATCTCATACTCTAGTATGGTAGAGGACATGTCATGCCCTCTTTTTTCTGATAATTCTTCCACCCAGTTCCTTCAGTATTTGTCATGAGTCTTAATTACTGGACCCTGATCTTCTTTCTTATGTGGTTTCACAGTGATCTTCTGTTTCCTGGAAATTTGGGTTCCAGATAACAGCAAATGATTGTTGATTTTTGTTTTTGCAACTATGTCACATTGCTGTCCAGTACATTCTCCATCTTATTGTTTCCTTTTCCTTAAATGACAAAGTTTACATTTATCTCTATTTTGTTAGTATCTACTCAATTTTCTCATTTTTCAAGATTGTTGTAACGTTATCTCTGTCTTTTAAGGTACTGTATTTGCTATTTCACCCAATTTAGTGTCACCTCTATTTCCTCTATACTCCCAATTATTTATTAACAATGACACACATGGGTTTATTTCATTCTGTTCCACCAAAATTGCTAAGCTAATGGTTACTTGAAGACACTCAAAAGACATGATCCAGGCCAAGCCGAGCTGAGCTCAGTCTAATGATCCAGTGTGGGAGAGAGACAGCATATTAACTCCCCCAATGAAATTGGAAAAGAAGATTTTAGCTTTAAGGATATTTTATTTTAAGACAGGTTTATCTTCGATGGAGTGCATCAAGCTTGCTGGACTGTAAGCTTCAGTGACAACCAAAGCAGATCCTTCAGTTGGCCTAACCTCTCTAATGTCTCTGCAAAATAACATACCTTTTCATCTTTCAGTTCTTTTTCTTCCTGCAACAGCTCTGTTAAAGATTCAATTTTAGCTGCTTGCTCATCAATCATTCTCCTTAGTTTTTCTACAGTTGCAGCTGCTGAGTCCACTCTACATTTTTCATCAACCTGTAAATATCTCTGTCAAAACAAAAGAAGGAAAAGTAAGAGATCCCATTGCAGTTGTGCAGTCAGAGAACACAACAAAATGGACAGCTTCAGGATGCATATGTTTATGAGTGTATAACTGTTTCCAAATTCTGAAGAGCACTAACTTTAGCATGCTTCAACGCTCTCCCCACAGCAGTTTTGGAGAGCTGATACAAAAAAGTCCTGTATGAGCTGAGACTGCCCCTGCGGACAAGGGGCTGTTGAAACTACAGCTCATGCCCTGCTACGCTGTACCCTCTAGAAGGACCCAAGGACCTGCCTTATAATTCCTTACCTGGTAAAACACCCAGGAAATTCTGAACTTTTTTATGGACAGTTGTTGTTATCAGATCAGTATGATTCAGTCTCCTTGAATGTAGCTAAATTTTGCTATACTGCCTATAAAATTAGGCAAACTTTTATTATCCACTGATGAACCCACCACCAATTGTAATATTTTACCTTGTTTTGATTTTACTTTATTTTTATTTTTAATGTGTTTGCAGTTTTGGTCAGTGACCGTTAATAAAAACATTCATTAATGACTATGAATGTGTTTTACCATTCTCCTTTGATCTGATCTAAAGAAAAAGAATAAGAACTTTTGAGCTTATTTTAATTATAAGGTGGCCAAGGAGGATGTAGAAATGCCTTATATTTCATAATACAGCAGTCTGTGTCCTCCCTGACTTCCCACACTTCAATTAACCTCCAAGGGAAAACATCATGAAGAAATTATTTCCATGGGGAGGGGGTTCAGATTAGGGTTTCAGATTAGGAAGCAGCGGCAATCACTGCAGAACAGAAAAATATTTCTTTATTTAATAAATGTATATGGCAGTACATCTCCTTGAACGTGACTCTGGGCAGCGTACAACCAACAATTAAAGAATGTTGTAGCTGTTAAAAAAAAAACTTTAAGATATAAATGAAAGCAAGATTGCAGGAGAACATCCATCTAAACTCAATATGACCATCATGTAGGCTCCCCACGAGATCCCCAAGGTTGCTGGAAAAGCAATGTTCTCAGGACCTTCCAAAAGGCTAACAGAGATGGGGCTAACCTCCCCTCGTGGGGGTGGGGGGATGACGTTCCAGAGGGCAGGAACCACAGCAGAAAAGGGATTTTCTGGGTCCTGTCATATGAGACTCTTTAGCAGACAGGATGCGCAACATACCCCTCCTGATGGGACGGGTAGACGTGATCAGGAAGAGGCAGTCCCCCAGATAGCCTGGCCCCATGCCATGTAGGGCTTTAAAGGTCAAAACCAGCACCTTGAATTGCACCTGGAAGCCAATGCAGCCCATGGAACACGGATGTAATGTGTGCCATCCTGGGGCACATATAGCCAACAGAAAGGGGGGAAAATGCAGTGGCAATACTTCCAGCTCACAACAGTAAAGCCCCAAATCACCACCAATTTAACTGCTAAAGAACATAAGATGAATCTGTAGGACTGGGCCTTAAGTCCAAGTAGTCCAGCATCGAGTGTCACGGTGACCAGCTGATGAATCAGTGAAGCTGACAAGCCTGGAGTAGAGGATGGTTCACCCCTTCACCGTCTGTCACTCCCAGCAGTCAGTGTGGAAGGGTTACTGCTTATAGTTCAGAAGGTAGTAAACAGCCACCAGTATTTGTAGCCACTGATAGTCTCAGCTTCCATGAACTAATACAGTCCCCTTTAAAACCACTCAGAGTTGCTATCATTGCAATGCACAACTTTCTCTTTTGGTGTATTTCAGTAGATGGGGTGGCAAAGTTTAGGGGGGGCTGGGGAAGCAAATGTATTCCAGTGGTCCTGTCAATTCTGATTCTTACACTTATACAAAAATTGCTTTTACAGAATGATTGGGCAGAATCACAGCATCTATACAAGAGTACTACATGTGCCTCCACATTGGCCCCTTAGACTTTTGTTCGTAAACCTTCAGACTGTTTCATTGGTGTGTTATTTCATGAGTTCAGGTTCTTTAGTCAGAAAGTTAAAACACAGAGTATTTGGTTCAAATACAGGTAGTCCCCAGTTTAAAAACGAGTTCCGTTCCCAAGGTCTATCCTTAAGTTGAATTTGTACATATGCTGGAAAAACATTATTGTATAATTCTGTATAAGTAGTATTGTGTAATGAACTCAAACCACTGTGTATTTAACTTGAATCATTGTGTATTTAACTCAAATTTTGCTACAACAGGCTCCGTTCTTAACTATGGGTTGTCTGTAACCCGTAGTTAAGAACGGAGCCTGTTGTAGCAAATTCTGTAACCCAGGCATTCTTAACTTTGGGACTACCTGTACCAAAGTTAACCCAGTAAATAGGAATAAGCTACATCCATCTGCTATTTGTTTAATTTTTACACTGCCTGACTCCCAGTTACTCTGGGCAGTTATCAACACAGAAAAATAACAATAAAACAATAGTACAATAAAGACAAAAGAGGAAAAAGATGGCAAAACCTGGCAACAACGAGAAACATACACACACTACTCAGAAGAGGTTTCAACCACTCTTATCAAAAGCCTGACCAAAGAGCATGTACTGGTACTATATTAGGTGCCCCAGGTATACACAGTAGCAAGAATCAAAAACTCACGGAATAATTCATTCGAAGAATAGCAAGTGCATCACATAATTGTTGTTGGTAGCTATATCGCATTTTGATTTCTTTCTGTAATTAAAAAGAAAGGATTCATATTTTTATGAATTATTGAATTAATAACGATAACAAACTGAAAGAGTGTGTTACTATCCAAACAATTAAATAATTTTCATTGTAGAAAAAAATTCTTATCAAATCTCTTTTTGAAAAATCAAAGTATGGAGCTACAGTGCAATCCATAAGTCAGTTTGTCTGGAGCTGTCCACTGCAGCATTCTTGGCAAACCCGAAGAGTGGACATGATGGGAGTGGTAATCCAGCACATCTGGAGGGTTCCTGATTAAAGAAGGCATCACTGAATTTAGTGGGACTGATTCCTAAGAATGCTGAGACTTAGAGTTGCAACACAACTGCTGGCTATCAGTCTTGGAAAGGCTGGTTTATGGGATCCTGTGCAGAATGATCAATGGAGGAAAATCATGAAATATAAACATTCTCTTTCCACATCTGCACCACCAGTACCTCTTAGGGTCAGCCCGCTGCCCTCACTTTAGAACAATAAACCTCATGGCTTAAAATACTCATGGTAACTTTTTGCTGCATTGTTTCTTCTTCCCAATTTTCTGGTTTGGGGGTGGGGGGTAAAAACTGCCTAAAGAAAAGTTCTGAAGAACTTGAATGCTTGCATTCACTTTTGTATTAAGTTGATTGGTTGTTCCTAATTACCCAGCTATTATTTTGTATGCTATTTATAGGCAAACACAGTCATGCACTGGTGCAAAAGGAAGATGAAGAAGGTTAACTTGTACCTGCTTATAAAGTTCCTCGATATCTTTCAGTCTGTCGCTTATCTCTAGCCAGAGTTTGGTTGCATATTCCTGTATTTTTTCTTCATACTGCATTTTCAAGATATTTTGATACAGTGCAAAGTCATCATAGAGTGAGTTTGTAAACTAAAAATGCAAAAAAAAGATGTAATATGAATTCATGATTTCTTTTAGAACTGTTCTGGTTACAAAAGGTGGATATCAACCATTGATAGATTTATTTACTTTAGTTTCACTTTCTGCCTCAATATTTTGTCGGGTAGTTGAAAATAAAGAATGATAGGAAAGCTAATCAGAAATGCAAATGTAAATATTAGCGAAGCAAAGATTCTTGCAGATATTGAATTACAATGATGACAATACAGATATATGAACTGCATACAGATTTTATATGAGAACTGGCCCTTTTGTAAACAAGGGCAATCAATCACATGGACTGCAACAATTCAAAGCAATTTAGGCCCTCTCCAACTCCAAACTGACTCTAGGAAGTTCACAATAAAACAAGGCAAGGTAAAAAGCACAATAAAGATAAAAAGAGAGTATCTGAAAGACAGTGAAAAAGCTTACCTGTAGTAAAGTTCTTGTCATTGCTGTAAACTGTTTCAGATCTGCTATCTCACTTATATCAGTTTGAGTGGCATGATCAGAGATTGCATAACCTATTTTTAGGTCCTCTGAAATGCAAGGCCTGCAGAATTTTTTTAGAAAATAGTTACTTTAAACAGCAGAGATGCTTTGCCTAGTAGAAATTAAATTTAAATTAGCAATTTAAATTTAATTTAAATTAGCAAATTAAAAATGATCCATTTCTGTTTTAGTTACATTATATTCAGCGTTACAAACTTAACTAGAATTAATTCCTATTTATTTATTTCCAAATAAGCATATTTATTGTTCCTTGGTTTTCAACTTGAATACAGTGCTGTTGTCTGATTGATAATCTTGTACTTTGTTTTTATTGTTCTACAATAGAATTCTCTCATTTGAAAGATGGCATAGCTAAGTACTCCCCTTCATGGATCACTGCCTTGTCGTGGCGAAGGGGCTTGCGTAACTCAGTGAAGCC